ATATATATTTATATTTTTATACTAAAATATTATATATTAAAAAAATATTTAAATACATATACGATGTATTTTAAATTAAAACAAGTATTTTTAAAACAAAAATACATATATATATATATATATATATATATATATATATATATATGTTGTCGTCATCATAAAAAACATACTATGATTTGGGTTTAACTTTCACATAGCTCCCCTATCAACTATCAACCATGTGTAAGAATGTGAAATAGGAGTGTTATATGGATTTTGTTGGGATAAACTTAAATCTTAAGGTTTTATTAATAATTTTGTTTAAATATTATTTTATTAGTTTCTGGGTATAGTAATATTTAGTTTGATTTGATATAGATAAAATAGGGATAAGTAGTTATGATTTTCGGTTTATCTAGGTACAATATTATTTTATAATAGATTAAGCAGATTTTATTTTTAAGATAGTTGATATTTTATTTTTATTCCTCGTAATATTGTAATATTGTAAGTGTTATGGCTATTTAAAGTCCTTCAATTATAACGAATAATAAGATTCAATTTCAGAAAAATATTTGAGTTTGTATCGTGAGATTTTCCCAACAGTGGTATCAGAGCTTTATGCTCTAAGTACCGAGAGAGAGAAAAAGAGACAGAGGAGAGAGTCAAACACAGTGAGAGAAAAAGTGAGTGCTTGAATTTTTTTTGTGAGAGATAACAAAGGTATTCAATGAGATGAGTGTGCCACAATTGTGGAAAAATACCAATTACATATTTTATAACACAAATATATATATATATATATATTAAAAATTTAACTCTTTAGTAAGAGTGTTATTTTTACTTTTGAATGTTAAAAGGTCACTCAAATGATCGAATTATGTAACTCGTTAACTATGACTCATTGATATAGCTAAACTTTGAATTATTAATGTTTTCGTTTCAATAAATCATCTCAAAGAAAATGAATGTGTGAGTGAAATAATTCTAATACTATTCTTACTTGACATAAAAATTTTAAGAGAACAACTTGCATTCTATAAAAACAGATAACATCCCTACCAAAGCGATTATAAATCATAAAAAATTTGAAATCTTAATTTAATAGAAGACCAAGAGATTAAAATACCCAGTCTTGCAAAAGATTTGTTACTAACTTTATCTCAATGGTTGCTTCGGTCTTTATTTAATATTGGTACTTATTCTAAATTATAGTAGATTACAAGGAGATATTTTATAAACGTTAATAGTATCCAAAATTAGTTATGAACTAACATAAGACATAATTCGATTAAATATTTATATTCATACAAATTAATTGTTATAATTAAAAAACAGATTTTTCATTTTCAAACTTTTCAAAATTAAAATTAGACAAGATAAAACTTAATATAATATCGAAAGAATTAATAATTAGTGATAATGTTAGTTTCTTTTTTAATATTTCCTTCCAAATTTATCAATAATATCACTATTTTAATCATTCATAAGAAAGATAATATATTAACATCACTATTCATTACATATATTCACCGTATAACTACTTTTTTAATAAAATATTAATTTATAGAGTTGTAAAATAAATAAAAAAGTATACTATATTAATTTTAACCTTGTATATTATATTAATGCCTCTTAGGTTAGATGATCATTTGGTTACACCAAAAGATGTGACAAGTTATTTCTTTAGAATGAAACTATAATAATTCTTTCTACACTTGGGTACTATCTCTGATGAAATCCTATTTATATACTTTTTCTCCAAAATAATTATATTTTTTTTTGTCATATGCAAAGTCAAATGTACATGCTACTTTTAATTGGTTTTTTGTCCTAGATGAATGTAATCACATATTTCTTTCTACATATTGTGATATTTTATCTTTAATGAAATCCTATATTTATATACGTTTTCTCTAAAATAATTATATTTTTTGTTTTCATATGCAAAGTCACATGTATATGCTACTTTTAATTGGTTTTTTGTCTTATGTGGATTCAGTCACATATTTCTTCCTACATTATTGGGATACTTTCTCTTTAATGAAATCCTATTTATATACTTTTTCTCTAAAATAATTACATTTTTTTTTGTTGTATATGCAAAGTAAAATGTATATGCTACTTTTAATTGGTTTTTGGCCTACGTGGATTTAGTCACATATTTCGATACTATAATTTTTTCTCCAAAATAACTATACTTTTTGTTGTCATAATTCGTTTTCAATGAGAAAATTTTAGAAATTTAGACCCAATTATTACATATAAACTAAAAACCTAATTATTTTAAATAATGAAAAATTATCTTTTATTATTTATTGACTAACGTATTTAAACATTTCTACAAATAATTCAATTCGAATATACACTAATTTCTGTTATTATTTAATGAAATTAAATATCATATTATTTTAAGTAATATAGACAGATTAAATTATATTAATTAGTATAACTTTTTCCAATACAGTATTATTATCATACTTTTAATAAAAAATAAATTGTCAAAATAGAACAATAATACATAAGTTAATATACTATTCGTATGAAATATTAAACATATCACACTAATTTTAATATATCTATATAGATAAATGAAATATTAAACGGTTTCTTCCCAATTCAGTAATTTCCTTTCCTACTATGTGAATAAATGTTCTTTATATATGTTATTTATTAATTATTTTTATCATTTATGGTTATAATTAATTTTGGTGTTGACCGTCGACAAAAAAGTTAACATCGAGAACCTCCATTTTAGATAATCCATTTTAGAGAACCTCCATTTTAGAGAACATCAAATATATATTATTTTTATCATTTATGGTTATATTTCTCTGTCTAATTTACGTCTTCTGCATATGAAATAATCACAGTTCTGAGTTTTTTTAGAAAAGGAATTCAATGCATTTTTATCTTTATTTTTCTACGTAATGATATTTAGCGAAATTAAATATCACACTATATAGAGATTAAATTATATAAGTCATATAAAATATATTCATACAAGATAATTAATTATTTTGATCGCAGAGAATGTAAAATTTTAAATGATAGTAATAAAGTTTAAACAATAATATAAGGGAAATTAATAAAGTTTTAATTTGGATATGTAAATATTGAAGATTTTATTGAGATTTAATTTGCATCAATTATCACATTTACCACCGGGTCCTCCAAATTGGAGAGAATATCCAACCTCTCGTGCGAGATTTCCATAATAGTCAACTCCAAAACAATCAGAATTGTCATTGCGTAATCTTGTCTGAGATATTCGAGGTCCATAATCATGTCTTGATTCGTTTTGAAAGGAGACTTCTCTAAAATAACACGCATGAACAAAATTTTTATCTGGAAAATATGCAGACCCCATTGGAGGACTCGGAGTGTTAGCAGGAGTTATTGTTCTTCCACCCCAACCCACTTCATCGGCTGAATTCATGTTCGAGAACAATTTTGATGGAAAATATCCAATATTTGCTCCATCCACATTTAACCACCAATTATTTGTCTTTGGGTCCTGAAATATATATAAATCTTTATCAATTATATCTACCGTTACATATCTTCTTATAAAAAAATCACACTTTTATGCCATCCACATCACCTGTGAAATAGAAATTGGAAGCTCGATCATTGTTCCACCGTAGGTTGATGTTTCATTCACAGGAGAACCCAGATATTTTGCTGGATCAGTTTGAACAAATCCTGAACAATATATATTGTAGCATCCTGTTTTTTTGAAATTATCGGACTGCATTCCCATCAAATATCATATTAGATTTTTAAAAAATAAACATGTTTAACATTAGAAAAACATGTAAACAAATTTCTTCTTACCGTCCATGCTGCGAAAATATAAGTTACACTGTCACCATAAATTTGTGGAGCCACCTGACACACAAATTAAAATAATAAGTATAAACTAAACCTCGTTTTATATGTGTAAAATTAAGATGATAATAGGACCAAACTAAAACTCACATGCCATCCCACAGAGATTTTGTTTGCAGCATCTATAGGTCCGTTTCGAACCCACATATAAGAAAAACTCAATTGTTCTTTTCTCTCAATTTTTGGATTATAAATGCTATTAATTCCAGTAACTTTGTAATAAGGACCATATAATGATCCCATATAAACTTCTGCAACCTATAAAATTTAGAAGATTCAAATAATTATTCAAATTGAAATATTATATGGTTAATATAGAAACAAATTAACATTTTCAGTTTTGTTATATAAGAAAAAACTTACATGGACACCGGGAAAACTTCCACCTAAGACATGATCATTGAATAATAATTTGCTTTGGATGAGATTAGCTTTTGTTATTCTTCTGATTGGAACAGTCCCTCTCGGACATTCATCTTCCTCAAGTCCAAATGCGAATTTAGTAGAAGAATTCTTCATAGTTGCCTTTTCAAATGAGTTTTGAAAGCTGGGTTTTCTCTGTTATCAAATAAAGTGTTAAATATGTTAAAAAATTATATATATATTATTTTTTAAGTTTTTATTTTTTAAGTTTTCAAAATGTGTGCAAGTTTTGAACTGACAAATTTTAATTTCGCATCAAAATTTAAAGAATAAAACCATATTTAATCCTTAAATAAAACAAAAACAAATATAATAAGTAAAAATTAACAAAAGTTGAGAGTGTTCAAAATAACATACCTGTAACTTATGATTCTTTAATAAAGGATGATCAAATGCTGGTTGTTTATAAATATCAATACAGTCAACAATAAATCCATATTTTATCTACAAAATAAAAAATACAGCATATATGATTTTTTTTATCAAAGCAAATAGCAAGATCAAATTCAACTAAAGAAAGAAAATCAATAATAAAATATGTGAAAAATATAAAATACATGAATACTCTTCACAGGAGATTTGTTAATGAGTTGAAATTCTCTTTCTAACTCCAAATCTTCTTCTTGGAGTGTGTGCTGAATGCCATGAACTCTATTACTATCATGGCTATTCACTAAACAGAACACGATGAACAATATATGAATCATTTCTTCTATCAAATATAATGAGTGATGTTGGAGAAACTTGTGGAATTGTCTATTTTTTATAGTAATACTACAAGATAAATAATAAATATAAAATCGGATAGATAAAGTAAGATAATAAAAAAGTAAATAAGAGGAAAAATTACTTAAATTCGTCATATAATTAACATTCATACATAGAAAAATTGGTGTAGAATTTATAGAAATAGAAAAAAAATATATAAATTTTTAAAATTAGAAAGAATGTAAAATTAATGTTTTATTTATTTCCATATTAAGTATCCAAGAAAGAATAAAAAAAAACAAAAATTCAAATTCATTTACAACTAGTTAAAGCTTCATAAAATTAATTTTAATTATAAATTAATAATAAGCAAATTGTGTTCTCACTAATCAATTTCTAAGTTGTTGAAATAAGACTAGTTTACAATATATAAGTGAGTGCAAATTTTACTTTATAAGTCGATTTTTTTTAGTTTGACTTCTTAACATATTATCAAAGTCATGGATTAGAGTCTATCCTTACACTCGACAATGTCAAATTAGTCCATCCTTTAAAAAGTGCGTCAATTACGTCCTTACTTAATAAAATTTATATCAATGAAATCCCTTCCCTTAAATCCGTACAAACGGCGTTAATTATTTTTCTCTCTCTTTTATTAACACCGTTTGTACGGATTTAATGGAAAGGATTTCCTTGATATAAATTTTATTAAGTAAGGACGTAATTGATGCACTTTTTAAAGGATGGACTAATTTGACATTGTCGAGTGTAAGGATAGACTCTAATCCATGACTTTGATAATATGTTAAGAAGTCAAACTAAAAAAAATCGACTTATAAAGTAAAATTTGCACTCACTTATATATTGTAAACTAGTCTTATTTCAACAACTTAGAAATTGATTAGTGAGAACACAATTTGCTTATTATTAATTTATAATTAAAATTAATTTTATGAAGCTTTAACTAGTTGTAAATGAATTTGAATTTTTGTTTTTTTTTATTCTTTCTTGGATACTTAATATGGAAATAAATAAAACATTAATTTTACATTCTTTCTAATTTTAAAAATTTATATATTTTTTTTCTATTTCTATAAATTCTACACCAATTTTTCTATGTATGAATGTTAATTATATGACGAATTTAAGTAATTTTTCCTCTTATTTACTTTTTTATTCTCTTACTTTATCTATCCGATTTTATATTTATTATTTATCTTGTGGTATTACTATAAAAAATAGACAATTCCACAAGTTTCTCCAACATCACTCATTATATTTGATAGAAGAAATGATTCATATATTGTTCTTCGTGTTCTGTTTAGTGAATAGCCATAGTAATAGAGTTCATGGCATTCAGCACACACTCCAAGAAGAAGATTTGGAGTTAGAAAGAGAATTTCAACTCATTAACAAATCTCCTGTGAAGAGTATTCATGTATTTTATATTTTTCACATATTTTATTATTGATTTTCTTTCTTTAGTTGAATTTGATCTTGCTATTTGCTTTGATAAAAAAAATCATATATGCTGTATTTTTTATTTTGTAGATAAAATATGGATTTATTGTTGACTGTATTGATATTTATAAACAACCAGCATTTGATCATCCTTTATTAAAGAATCATAAGTTACAGGTATGTTATTTTGAACACTCTCAACTTTTGTTAATTTTTACTTATTATATTTGTTTTTGTTTTATTTAAGGATTAAATATGGTTTTATTCTTTAAATTTTGATGCGAAATTAAAANAACTCAAGCTGCCATAGACAAAGTTAATCCCAGTCTTCACATCTATGGCCAGGAAAAAACAACTAACTAAGGATCTCCTGCTACTGTCAAGACCATACCCCACCCTTCTTTATTGATACTAGATGGTATTAAGTGGACAGGATGGTCCAGAATACGGAATCCCTTTACATACACAAATAAACCATTACAATAACTTTTCCTTGAATCCTTTCTCACACGCAAGTCATAAATCTTCACAGTCTATTACAATGAATCATTCCCAATTCCAAAATAAAAACATCATTGAAGTCATTTTTAAATTATTTCAACAACACAAAAAATAATTTTTTAACACACCAAAATTTGCATTAGCTTTGAGAGAACACAGAGAAGGATGATATTTTAGATAATAAAATTTGCAAACTAAACTTTATTAATATTTTAACCTTTAATATGAGAATAGAAAAGTCTCATTATTTAGAAACATCCTATCATTCTAATGTTCTATTTTCTAGGACCTCACAAATATCAAAATTATAATTGCCAACACCACCAATAATACACATAATTATTAAAATTTATTAATATAAATAATTATGAATTCTTGATGATTAAAATTTCAAATTCCTTAATTAAATAACTTATTTCTCAATAAGTATGAAAAAGAACACCATTTACAAAAAATAATTATAAAAATTAATTATTCAAATTCTATATCTAGAGATATTTCTGATTAAGCAATCTAAATCAACACTAAAAAATTCAATTTTGATTTTCTCTGTAAAATCTAAAATGGAAAGTTTACTATTTTCCAAACATAATGTTTTTCAGTTGGTATATTTTACCCAACAATGTGTACGGGTTTTAGTATACAAAAACACCCACTTATATATATATATATATATATTATAATATATCATGTATTCAAGTGTCTAAGGTTAAGGGTATTTTAATAATTTTTCTTCTAAAAAAAACAATCCTGAAACCCTTACCCACCTTTCATTTCCTGTGAAACCCTTTCTCTTTCATCTCTCTACCTCCAACCATTTTCTTTATCACCCTACGTAAACTCCAATTGAAAAAATCAGAAAGAAACACTTGCCCTCCTAAACCCAATCCACCTTTCTCACTATCCAATTTGTTTTCCTCTCTCATCTCCATACTCTCACTCACCCACCACACAACCCGCGGAATCGACAATGTGTTGTTCTTGCACTGTCCGGTTCATTTATTTTTCACCTTTAAAACAAAATAATTGTGATTTGATGTTGATTTTTTTATTGGAGAACTGTATCATATATTTCCCTTAGATTATTAAATTTCATTTTTAATTAAGCACGGTAGAGATGACAGAGAAAAGGTTGGAGTGAGAGCGATGAAAGAGAAAGTGTATTGAAAGGAATGAGAGAATGAGTAATGCGGTTTTTTTTTTAGTTTTTTTATAATGAAAAAATTATAAATACCCTTAACCTTAAAACTTAGAATCAAATGATATATAGGGTATTTTGTCTACTAAAACCTGGTATACATTCAAAAGGTACCACGGGAAATATACACTAAAAATGTACCAACTAAGAGGCAAAACCCATGATATATCAGGGTATTTACATTTTTTTTAATCATCCATGAAAGATATAATAAGTCAATGTACAACATAAAAAAATGGAAAAAGTATGAAAAAGTCTTCGAATTGTTGCTTGGTCTAGCTTCCAACATGCTCCGCGGAATGATAGTCCCTCCAAAATTGTAAATGACAAAATTCTACAAATATTTATAAGAGATTTTTTGTTATTTGTAATCACCGATTAACTTTCAATCAGTTAATAAAATTTATTAACCGTCATTTTACTTACATATATTTGACGATCGAGCTTTAGTAATTTGTCAAAATAATGTAAATTATCAACTAATATTGGTTATTATCAATGAATTTTAAAGACATCCATAAGTAAAAAAACTTTAAATTATTCTAATAAATTAGTCTTTGCTCTAAGTCTTGGCAAGCCATTAAGAATTAAATATCTTCTAATAAAACATCGTCGTCAAGAGGACCTCAATGAACGGGAGTCGCATAGGCCTCATATGTTCCTGCTCCTCAAAGGCTCGGCTCCTCAGCAATATGATCATCTCAAGAGAAAACTACATGCTTCTCCTTCTTTTTTTTTTTGGAGCAAAAACGGTAAGTCTTCTTCTAGCTTCGCCTTGCGCATAACTCGTTCCTCGAGATACTCGCATCGCGAGAACGTAATTTATGATGCACAGCGTGTGTTATTGCCATGTCTAAAAAGTCAAATTATGACATAAGCAAATCACATAAAATTATTGTGTTTAAAAATTAATAGTAAACGAGAAAAAAAAGGTCAAATTAAAAAAATTAAACTAATAATAATTAATTTATTAACTTCAATAAAATTAAATAAAATAAACAATTACGCTAACTAATTCTAAAAAAATTTAAAAATTAATTTCATAATTTATTAACTATAAAAAAATTAAATTAAATGAAATTACGTAAATAATTACAAAAAGTTTTACTAACCGTTAACATTCAATATAATAATTTTAATTCAATAAATTTGAAAAGTTTTAAATATATCAAATATGTATCATTTAAAATATAAAAACCTTTAACATTATTTTCAAAAATAAAAATGA